GAAGCTAGCAAATATCGCTATATATGGCTAATTTGATCGAATGAGTGTGAGCTTTGGTGTTGCTATAATCTGCTTGTGTAAACCGTTTTGATATTTTGTGTCCGTGATTATATAATTTTGTTAATTTGTTTTTCGGGCCGTGTTTGGGCATCGCCATCTATTTCACGGGACCGGCAAGGTCATCAAAACTTAAATCTTCTTTTTCTCTAAAATGGGCAAGGTCTAGTCTCCAGAATAGGAGGTTCCATTCACAGATCACCCATATAAACATGGGTGATCTGTGAATGGAACCTCCTATTCTGAGTTACCCCCCCCCCCCCTCCTGGGTGCGCTACTTGGGATCGTGTCAAGCAGCTGTCATTGTAAATACAACAAAAATGGACAACGAGTTATTTAACCCGCATATGCGTGTGTAGCACTTAGAGAGGGGTGGCTAAGTCTGTCCCCCTTAACCTTAACTACACAAGATAAACATAGTGACGTTCAACTAGAATCTTAATAAAAATAGTTGTATAACTGGCTCAGTACTAACACATCTACAATCTTGAAAAAAATGTTGAGAAAAATGGACGATACTGCGTCTGGTTTCAAGATAACGCTTGAACGAACTCACTGTGGCAACTACAGATACTCCATCCCCCCTCCCCCCAAAAACAACAATGTTGAAGCCCGGCTGGATCATTTCGGATCCCGAATAAACAAATTTGACCAGGGTGGGGCGAGGGGAGGGGCCACAGCAGTACCAAATCCGCGGAATAGGCGTTCTGTGGGTAAGACAGTGCAAATCTCAATACTTTTTGTCCAAGATTGTAACGTATGAAGTGCATATATTGCCGCTAAATAATTAGGTAGTCCCAGTTTGCAAGGAAATGTTTCCTCTATTCAATAAAGTATGTTTGCCAGCGATCATAATCTCCCATGGTCCAGTTCATGCAATATGCAAGAGAAATCACTCTAACGAAAATGATATTGTTAAGAGGCGTGAGGAAGAAAGTTAATTAGGGACAGACCAATAGGAAAGTGGCATGAATTTTTTTCGTAAGCATTTTCTTTGTATTAATTTTCTTGGGCCAAAGCATGAATATTTTTTGGCGTTACTTGGAGTGCACTAATTTTATTCATTTAGTTTTCCCTTGCACGAATATTATATTTTTGTACTTCACCTCCCCCATTAAGGTTTTCATGGTCCGCACGTGGCCCCTTGCCGTCCCTATAAAGACTTTTTTTTTTTTTTACGTCAACCTTAATGACATGTTTCTCCAGGCGAAATTTTTAAGGATCAAATTTACTGGCAAGTTTCCCACTCACCTCCATCTTCCGTGCATGGGACGATTGGCAAGCTGCAGAAATGAAATCTTCGAACTCCCCGACAGAATCTCGTCGTCTCCTTGATTTTTTTCCGTCAATAAGACCATCGTTTCTTTCTGTTGTATTAGTTTTCGTTTGCGGATGTCTCTGGGTGAAGAATGAAACAACAAACGAACGACTGATCGCGCTGGAATCTCGCGTTAACCTTTTCCCCTGCGTTCAGAGTGTCTCGGCTGAAAATACTGACAGGATATCTCTTCCACCAACAAAAGGTACAGCAAGAGATCTTTATAAAAAGGTTCAGACACATGTATCCGAAAGGATCGGTTATACATCAGGTAAGATCTTCACTTCAGATGTTATTTAGATGCAGATACATGTTTAGAACTGAGTTTATCCTTTTTTGATTTAGGCATATAATCTTTCATGGTGTGAGTTTGCGCTTACATACGGGATCTTTGGATATTGCATAAGATAACTGAATTTTTAACCTCCGCTAATTCTGTATAAACCCTTTTGCAACACTCTTGCTCTGTTGTAATACTGCTTAGATATTAACTAAGCCACCTATACTGGTAAAACAATAAAGAAATTTTCGGTGTAAATGATGTTGAATTCATAGTTTAAGTGTCGAACGACTTGCTCACGTGCAAGATATGTGGTCAATACTCAGGAGGGTACTCTTGTATAATTTTAAAAGCCATACAATTATGTGCCGCCACAAAGGGTGTAGTTCTTGACACTTTTTGATCTGAAAACGCTGGTATAAACGTAGGTCATTTTGGTCTGGAATAGGGTTTGGTTTTCGAGGAACCTTCTGGAGCGTATGCATGAATGTAGTTATCGTTTCAGTTCCACATGAATAAGAACGAAATAGAAATACGTAAATTCGAAATGCATTTGAAGAATTTTTTTGTTTGCGCTCTGATCTAAGTAATGATGACACAATTTCTGTTTAAAGGCCAGATCTAAAAACGAGTGCGGATTTTAGAGGACTGCATGTTCTGAAAGCGGGTGTGGAAAATACAGTCTGAAATAGCACTGTCTGAATAAAATTGTTAGGGTGGCGTAAAATTTGAGATATTTTTTTAAATGCCTCTAGGGCCGGTTCGGTTAAGGAGTCTTAAGGCTTGCCGGGTTACTTGATAAAACCTTTGGTAACTTTGATAGGGTGGCAAGTTTGAAAGTACGTTTATTGAACGGTCTCAGTTGGTTTAAAACCCGGGGGGGGGGGGGGAAGGACTTCCTTATAAGAGGCTACTAGGGATGTGCCACTGGTTAGGGCCGCATTTTCACGACTGGATTGACTATAATGGGGTTTCATTTTCAATAGAATTACTAGAATGGGGTCGCACATTTTCGGATTTGTTGTGCTAAGACAGTTCTTATTTACGGTTCGCAAACTTACCAGAATGTTTGTTCTGTAGATGAAAAGTAAAGTGTTCTTCATACAGTGTAAAAAATGGGTCAATTCATAAAAATAAAAAGTGACTAAGTTTGGATCGCGAAAAATTCATATTTGCCCAAAAGTCACTAAGATATAGGGTCTATAATTAATCACAGAATAGACTATAATGGGGTAGGGGCTCTTAGACGCCAGCGGCACATACCCAGCCAAAATTTACCCAAGTTTCCTTCCCCGGGGTTTGAAATGTGTGCGTAGAACTAGAAATCTGTGCAAGAGGATGATAGGGTTAGGGTTCGGTATCAGGTCCTATAATATGACTTGAGGAACTCTAGATCGTACAAAAGGGATATAATGTCGAGGACGTTGTGCGTGCGAAAACTACGCATGTCATTAATAATGATACAGCAATAAGGAAATGATTTATCGTGACCTAGCTGAGGCCCTCAATCCAGTTTCAACCTTATCTCTCTCTCTTTTTTTTTTTGTTAAAGAATCTAGATTGGAAGGACTTCTTCTAGATATGTATTAGATATTTTTACAACCAGCTATACACTAAGGTCATCTTCGGAGACCCAGGGGCTGTTAGTCGGGTCGGGAGAAGCGGCGCGAAGATAGTTTTCAAGCCGTGCTACCTATCTTCTGTTGGCATGATATTTTAGTCAAGTTCATACTCAAGAAGGGTAGACAATTGTATCCCGGTTCGCAAATGCAGCTCTGATCTGACTGGGTGGCTGAATGGCGAACATCCCACCTTTGTAGATAGTATCGTGGGGAGGGAAGTTTGTTTCCACGGATTATTAAAGTGTTGTTACTGGACAGTTCAGATACGCGTTAGAGAGTGTCAGGGTTACTAGGTGTCTGAGTTAAACCTGTCACCGACAGAAAGGTTCAGCCGCCATTGTGCAAGCGCGTGAACGTTACGTTACCGGGCGCTTTAAGCATACGTCAAGATTCGATTAACAGGCAGCAGCACGCGTTAATAAAGAAAAAACTGCTTCATGAACTGATGTCATTGGAAATAAAAGCAGAAAAGGGCAACGAGTTATTTTCTTGCCCAAGAGCTCAATTCAGTACGCCCGCATATGCGTTGAAATACTATCCCGTGGTTTACTCCACTCAGTCTGTCCCGATATTAGATAGTTGTAATCATGTAACAAAGTAAGGTGCGCTACTTGGGGAACCCTAAGTCGTATGTATAAACAATACAAAAGAGACTGATTTTTGTCTAAGACACTGCTAACAAACAGCATGCGCTGGTAAAAGACCGTGTCAAGCAGCTGTCATTGTAAATACAACAAAAATGGACAACGAGTTATTTAACCCGCATATGCGTTGTGTGGCACTTAGAGAGGGGTGGCTAAGTCTGTCGCCCTTAACCTTAACAATACAAGATAAACATAGTGACGTTCAACTAGAATCTTAATCAAAATAGTTGTGTAACTGGCTCAGTACTAACACACCTACAATCTTGAAAAAAATGTTGAGAAAAATGGACGATACTACGTCTAGTTTCAAGATAAAGCTTGAAAGCACTGGCAATTACAAATACTCAATCCTCCCCCCCCCCCCGCTACAAAAAAAATAAAACATTGTTGAAGCCCAGCTGGATCATTTCTGATCCCGAATAAACAAATTTGACCAGGGTGGGGCGGGGTGAGGGGCCATAGTGGTACCAAATCCGCGGGATAGGCGTTCTGTGGGTACGAAAGTACAAAATCCCAACCCTTTTTGTCCAAGATTGTAACATATGAAGTGCATTTATTGCCGCTAAATAATTAGGTAATCCCACTTTGCAAGGAAAATTTTCCACTATTCAATAAAGTATGTTTGCCAGCGAACATAATGGTCCAGTTCACGTAATATGCAAGGGAAATCACTCTAATGAAAATGATATTGTTACGAGGCGTGAGGAAGAAAGTTAATTACGGACAGACCAATAGGAAAGTCGCGTGAATTTTTTTCGTTAGCATTTTCTTCGTTTTAATTTTCTTGGTCCAAAGCATGAATATTTTTTGGCGTTACTTGGAGTGCACTAATTTTATTCATTTAGTTTTCCCTTGCACGAATATTATATTTTTGTACCTCACCTCCCACCTCCCCCATTAAGGTTTTCATGGTCCGCGCGTGGCCCCTTGCCGTCCCTATAAAGACTTTTTTTTTTTTTTTTTTTACGTCAACCTTAATGACATGTTTCTCTAGGCGAAATTTTTAAGGATCAAATTTACTGGCAAGTTTCCCACTCACCTCCGTCTTCCGTGCGTGGGACGATTGGCAAGCTGCAGAAATGAAATCCTCGAACTCCCCGGCAGAATCTCGTCGTCTCCTTGATTTTTTTCCGTCAATAAGACCATCGTTTCTTTCTGTTGTATTAGTTTTCGTTTGCGGATGTCTCTGGGTGAAGAATGAAACAACAAACGAACGACTGATCGCGCTGGAATCTCGCCTTAACCTTTTCCCCTGCGTTCAGAGTGTCTCGACTGAAAATACTGACAGGATATCTCTTTCACCGACAGAAGCTACAGCAAGAGATCTTTATAAGAAGGTTCAGACACATGTATCCGAAAGGATCGGTTATACATCAGGTAAGATCTTCACTGCAGATGTTATTGAGATGCAGATACATGTTTAGAACTGAGTTTATCCTCTTTTGATTTAGGTATAATCTTTCATGGTGTGAGTTTGCGCTTACATACGGGATCTTTGGATATTGCATGAGATAATCAACTAACACTGTATAAACCCTTCAGGGACACCCAACGAGAACGTAGTTTAAAACTACTTAAACAAAGCGTTGTTAAACGTATTTTAGTATTTAAACGGTAAATATAGGCAAATTTTTATCCCCTAAAAATTTTTCATCTGTTTCATCCGAAAATTATAGGGATCAAAACTTACCTTTTCGAAAATTTCAGCCAGATAAAAGGCTCTCGAAAATTCTAGGTGACCTTTTAAGGGTAAAAATCCGTTAAAAGTGGGCAATTATACCATTTTTTAGATGTTCGAAAATCCTAGGAGAAGCAGGCAAGCAGTAAATTTTACAACAAATGTCCCGAAAATTCGAGATCTCAAATCGTCTTCCGAACAGATATTTTCCGAAAATTGTCGCTGGGTGCCCCTGACCCTTTTGCAACACTCTCGCTCTGTTGTAATACTGCTTAGATATTCACTAAGCCACCTATACTGGTAAAACAATAAAGAAATTTTCGGTGTAAATGATGTTGAATTCATAGTTTAAGAGTCGAACGACTTGCTCACGTGCGAGATATGTGGTCAATACTCAGGAGGGTACTCTTGTATAATTTTAAAAGCCATACAATTATGTGCCGCCACAAGGGGTGTACTTCTTGGCCCTTTTTGTTCTAAAAACGCTGGTATAAACGTAGGTCATTTTGTTCTGGAATAGGGTTTGGTTTTCGAGGAACCTACTGGAGCGTATGCATGAACGTAGTTATCGTTTCAGTTCCACATGAATAAGAACGAAATAGAAATACGTGAATTCGAAATGCATTTGAAGAATTTTTTGTTTGCGCTCTAATCTAAGTAATGATGACACAATTTCTGTTTAAAGGCCAGAGCTAAAAACGGGTGCGGATTTTAGAGGACTGCATGTTCTGAAAGCGGGTGTGGAAAATTCAGTCTGAAATAGCACTGTCTGAATAAAATTGTTAGGGTGGCGTAAAATTTGAGATATTTTTTTAAATGCCTCTAGAGCCGGTTCGGTTAAGGAGTCTTAAGGCTTGCTGGGTTACTTAATAAAACCTTTGGTAACTTTGATAGGGTGGCAAGATTGAAAGTACGTTTATTGAACGGACTCAGTTGGTTTAAAACCCGGGGGGGAGGGACTTCCTTATAAGAGGCTACTAGGGATGTGGCGCTGGTTAGGGCCGCATTTTCACGGCTGGATTGACTATAATGGGGTTGCATTTTCAATAGAATTACTAGAATGGGGTCGCTCATTTTCGGATTTTTTGTGGTAAGACAGTTCTTATTTACGGTTAGCAAACTTACCAGAATGTTTGTTCTGTAGATGAAAAGTGAAGTGTTCTTCATACAGTGTAAAAAAAATGGGTCAATTCATAAAAATAAAAAATGACTAAGTCTGGATCGCGAAAAATTCATATTTGCTTAAAAGTGACTAAGATATAGGGTCTATAATTGATCACAGAATAGACTATAATGGGGTAGGGGCTCTTAGACGCCAGCGGCACATACCCAGCAAAAATTTACCCAAGTTCTCTTCCCCCGGGGTTTGAAATGTGTGCGTAGATCTAGAAATCTAGAATGTCAGCTTAGCTTTCCCTTGGAAGCAACAAGGGAAGAGGCATGACGACAAATTAAAAAGCTGTTAACCTTGTTGTTGAACGCAACTTCCAAAACGTTGATTTTGTGTTAGAAATGTCAACCTTATCATTCATGTCGTTGATTTGTTCGTTGTATTTTCTCCCTTATTTATTTTTAATATTAATCACTGGATATTAAAAAATTTCTTGATCTTACTTTACTGCAGTCAGCCCGTTATCAATAGAGGCATCAGCAACCATCCGGTTAAGGAAGCGAAGAAAAGTTTTGAACGACACTTCAACTGGCATCACCATACATGAAGTGAGAAAAGAAATCAGCAAACAATTTGAACAACTTATGCCTACCAAGTACTGTAAGTCAAGTGACAAGGTATGTCCTGCAGGACCCCCCGGATATCCTGGTCCCATTGGAGCGAGGGGACCACGTGGCAGGAGGGGACCAAAGGGAAAGAAAGGTCCTCAAGGTCCCATGGGACCACTTGGAAAATCCGGAAAAACAGGAATAACTGGTCCTGCAGGACTGAGAGGAGAAAAGGGAGGTAAAGGTCGTCAAGGTCCCATGGGACCACCTGGAAAATCCGAAAAAAAAGGAATAACGGGTCCTGCAGGACCGAGAGGAGAAAAGGGAAGCAATGGGGAGGCAGGAGAGCCTGGGCCAAAAGGCATGCCGGGACCACCTGGAAGGCCTGGAAAATCGATATCTGCTCCACAAGTGATGTTGTCGCCGGCAAAGCAGACACAAGATGAGGGAGGAAATACAGCATTTTATTGCACGGTCGCCGGAAATCCTTCCGCAATCGTCGAATGGCAATTTAACGGCACAAAGCTTCTGTCAGCTTCAAAGCATCTGATTAAAGAAGGAGAGTTGATCGTTAGAAATCTGAATTACAGCGATGCTGGACCGTACACATGTGCTGCCAGGAACATTCTTGGATCGTCTGAGGCCACTAGCAACTTGACTGTTCGAGGTAAGAGGAGCATTTAACTTAGAGTTTTGTTATATCTGGCTGCTTGATTATGTAGGCTTCTTTGTGCTCAGAGAGTGCGAGAATACGAGGTTTGAATATAAAAATGGCACCGCTGTTTAATCATTTACTTTTATCTCTTCTTTCATTTTTTCTTATTTCTTAAGCACTGTATAACGCCAAACTTTAAATTTACTCAATCATACCTTATGCTAATGATCAAGGCCTAGTATAGATTTTGCTCATTGGCATTAGGTTAGTAGTCACGAGAGTAGTTCAACTTTAATCTGAGCCATACAAACATAAACATATTAAATAATGTTAAAGATAATAACACATGACAGGAATATTTGGACCTTACATGAACGCAAGGGCACACAACACCATCCTTCTCCTTCTCCCTCTTTAGCTTAGACCACCCGGAGAGGTTACTTAGGTGAATTTTTGCTGGATAGGTGCCGCTGGCCTCTCAGAACTCTTACCCCATTATATTCTATGCATGCTGGTCGATCATGTATCGGCTCTATTTCAGGTCTTCCAGTCTTCACAAAAGTTCCACCTTCACTTGCCACACCAGTTCAAGGCACTACGTTTCAAGTAACATGTCAAGCTGATGGATATCCTCGCCCCACGGTAACTTGGACTAGAGTAGGAATGCCTTTACCTGCTGGAAAGACTAGTATAAACCAAGGCACACTTACGATTAGCAACTTGAGTCCTGCCGACAATGGTTTTTACGACTGCGTAACTACTAACATTATGGGAACAAAGAAGAAAAGACTCAACCTAGCAGTACAAGTGCATCGTTCAGGTTTGTATTGAAGGCACCGTCTCACTCTGAGGCTTCTCTGTATACACCTGCTTCAATAAAAGGTTGCTTTGGCAATTGGGCACTGGGCATTTGGGCGTAAGGAACTCACTGCAATGAATTGCTTGGTTGTCCACCAAACAATAGCTTCCCAGTGCGCAATTATAAAATGCCCAAAGCAAGAATCAGGTACCGTTAGATTAAACGTTTATTTCAGTAATGCAAATAATCTTATCCATGCAGCTTGCGATCTTGGTTAAACACCAGATAAGAGTGTTCATTATGAAGGACAGTTTTTCGAAAGTCTAAATTTGCTACTGCGGGAACTATACAGCTATACCGAAATATGTCGCAGGGTGATCTTTCCGAAGACCGCTTTATTTTAATTTTTGTTGTTTCTTTGTTTGTCTGTTTATTTTTCAGGCATTCAAAAACCATCTAATCATTGCTAAAGCCAGACGAGAGCTACTACCTTTGCGAGTGTATGTTGCGCTTGCGGAAATTGGCAACTTAAGACAATTATACGTGTTAACTAGATTTTCAATGATCTTAAATGCTTAAACGTCGTTAATAACGCGCAAATCACGTACATGCATGCATACATGCTTTCTTTAGTCTCTTGCAATGTTACTCTTTTTCTCAATAAATTCAGTTGTTGTTGTAACATTTAAAAAAAAACTTTTTACCTTGTCATTTTATGGACGTTGACTTTTAATACTTAGGTTTTGAAAGCTCAGTCATTGTGGAAAACAACAGAAATCACTTGACCTTGTTAAGAAACTGGCTAGCACCTGTGGCAAAAAGCGTGAATTCTCTCTGGAAGCGCTGTTGGCGTGCATCCGTGGACGGCTGGGCTGCAAGTACATTTCACTCACGATGTGACAGCAAGGGCCCGACTGTGACAATAATAAGGGTTGGGAGATATATTTTCGGAGGATACACAAGTATTTCATGGGGTAAGTGAGCATTGTAAGCCATGGCGGTGACATTTTTACCTTTGAGGTAATCAGTTGGCATTGATATGTTCAGCTAAAAATGCAGCTTGGTACTTAGCAATATGGAATCATTTGACTGTACCTTTCATACATGGTTAAGCAGTGGCGGACAAAGGTTCTAGGTTAATAGCTCTAGATGTGGGCCCATATCCCCTTGTTCCTCAAGGGGGCCCCTCCTACACTCACATGGCATGACGAGCTTTGAAGCGCGAAAAAATTTTATGCAAATTAGCTGGCTGCACATTCAATGTGCAGCCAGCTAATTTGCATAAGTAATTCAAAACCAAGATCTGACAGCTCTAGGCTCTTGAGGTGTTAGCTGAATACCCTAGGACTTCCGTAAATTGCCCACAAAAGAGTAACTCAAGCTACCATAAACTGAAATGAAAGTAACCGCAATATCCGATTAAAGCAAGGTTTAAATCTTTTTCTGCTCGGCTAACCCTCTTCCGAGACACTTACTATTTTGGTAATAATAAAACGCCATAAACATTTTACATTGCGCCTTTTTCAGTCTCGGGCAGTAAGTTATAGTATGAAATGGAGGTAAACTCAAGAATTTAGTTTTGTGACTGCCCTGCAACTTTGAAACTATTTAAGCCGCTTCCTAAAAGGCCGGGAAAATGTTTTTCGTATACGCTACCCAGGATACTACAGGAATGATTGGAGCATTTTTACGAGTTAACTGTAGATTTCAGGTATACACTACCCAGGATACTACAGGAATGATTAGAGCATTTTTACGAGTTAACTGTAGATTTCAGGTATACGCTACCCAGGATATATACTACAGGAATGATTAGAGCATTTTTACGAGTTAACTGTAGATTTCAGGTATACACTACCCAGGATACTACAGGAATGATTAGAGCATTTTTACGAGTTAACTGTAGATTTCAGGTATACGCTACCCAGGATACTACAGGAATGATTACAGCATTTTTACGAGTTAAATGTAGATTTCAGGTATACACTACCCAGGATACTACAGGAATGATTAGAGCATTTTTGCAAGTTAACTGTAGATTTCAGGTATACGCTACAGGATACTACAGGAATGATTAGAGCATTTTTACGAGTTAACTGTAGATTTCAGGTATACACTACCCAGGATACTACAGGAATGATTAGAGCATTTTTGCAAGTTAACTGTAGATTTCAGGTATACGCTACCCAGGATACTACAGGAATGATTAGAGCATTTTTACGAGTTAACTGTAGATTTCAGGTATACACTACCCAGGATACTACAGGAATGATTAGAGCATTTTTGCAAGTTAACTGTAGATTTCAGGTATACGCTACCCAGGATACTACAAGAATGATTAGAGCATTTTTTGAGTTAACTGTAGATTTCAGGTATACACTACCCAGGATATCTGCAACGCAGATAACAAAAGCTCAGGAAATCAGGGCGTACCCAATCGATGAAAATCGATGATCGGAAAAGCAATCGATCAATCGATGCCAATCGATGCATGTCAGTTAATTGGCATCGATTGGTATCGGCCAATCGATGACCAATCGATAATCACACAAAAGTGTTCATGAATCATCGATTGTCATCGATTGGGGTTTAATATTTTCTCTGATCAAAAAGATTACTTCAATGTATCACATCAAAACGAAGTTATTTCGTACGACATTTGGTCCATTTGACAATTTTAACTACGCAATGGTTGCGTCGTACCTAGATCCGATGCAAAACATTTAATTCATTTTTCTTAGTTTTCCAACAGGTCTCTGCCCACACGCTGAGAACATGGAATTGTCAGTAACAGTCAGTTCTATCCAGAATTCTGAGAATTACACCGAGCTGAAATCGCGTGTGACGTAGAACAGCGTACAACAGAGTCAAAATACAACAATCAACTCAACTATGTGTTGCTTTGGAAGTTTTAAATCATAACATAACTGTAATTAAACACAGTAAAACATGAATAAAATAAATTCACAAATGATTACGCATGTTCTGTATTTTATCTGAGTTTATTCATTCTAAGCTCAGCGTCAGCTGCATCACACATTAGTTTAATCTGGTTTAATCAGTAGCCTCTGTCAGCGCGTACTGCCCCGGTGTATAAGACTTGGCTCTTTCCAGGCGGCGGTGATTTTGAAACCAGGTGGATACCTGTAGAAGAAAAAAACAATATGTTTTAGTTATTATGAAATTGTTCCCATTATTAGCATAAATCCTACTTTTTTCAGTCTTTTTTTTTACACTCTGCGCAACAGTGACCCTGACCGCAACAATAGTCACTGGCATAATGCAAGCGCGCACAGAAACAAAAAAAAAAACGGTCCTGATCGAGAAAGTTATAGCGGCAAGGGAAAAAGCAAACAATATGACATGTACAGCCTCTGCTACAAGCACAGTTGCTACTGGTCACGAAAGCACTATAAGCCACAGTTTGGACACTTCTGCTGAGTCTCTCACTGCAAAAGCGAGTACCTGCTCTTCTTCTTCCACTTCTTCGCGGTTTTGTCATGCACGTAAAATTGTACAGCCTTCAACGTTTATCTATTATTTTGATGAAAAAAAAGAAAGAGTGATCCACCTGTTACTGCTTTTACTGTTTATGATTGATCTGATCAATGCGTACATGGCAAACGCGATTTACCTTTACGTCATTAACACACTGATGTCAATTCAAGCAACTTTAATTTTCGAGGAACTAACTTGTCTGTTTTCCGTACTGCTTGCACTGTTGCTGTTGTTGTTGACCTGTTTTATGTTTGCGCAAGTAAATGTAAACTGCTTTTGTGGCGACAGTTGCAGTCTAATAGACATGGGTTCTACTGTTTATGCCGAGGGCTACTAATGTGCCACTGATAGGTGTGAGGTACTTTTTTTGAAAGCGTTATAAAACTATTAATATCGTTATAGTTTGAAAGTGAATTCCTGTAAACTGGACTTCAAAGTTGCAAACAGTTGACACTTTTGGCCACCCCGTTCAAAATTTATACGGCCCGTTTACACAGGCGATTTTGGTGCAATTTATGTCGCGATTTCCACTGCGTATTTTCTCGCGATCGTGCTGCAACGAGTTGATTTTTATCACTAGCTAGAATGTCTACGAAACGTGGTAAATGCGTAAACACGTCTTACAAAAAAGATGATTTCGTTTTTCGTCGTAAGGTCACAACGCCTTGTGATAACAGGTAGAATTTGAGTTGCAGCGCGACCGAGACAACAATGACCAAAAATCGCAACCGAAACCACGACAACACAAAAATCGCCTCTGTAAGTAAACTGTAAGTGTTTTCACGTTATGTGCTAGTTGTTTGGGGTTCAAAGTTCAAGTTTATTGGTTTTTTTAATAAAATCAGATTGTTGTAACTTTCATCGAGCACAAACCAGAGGAAAGGACGGGAAATGCGAAAAGACAACTTTATTCAGTTAAGCAGAGTTAAGCTGATTATCTGTCAAGTTGTAAAAAAAACTCGATCTTCTGCCAATGTCCTCCACGATGTCATTGTTTTCGTCATTAAAATGCATCAAGAGACTGTGCCTTTGGAAATCTTGACTGAAAATAAAACCTATCAACAATAATAACCAATAGATGAAAATTGGTAAAAAATCGATGCCAATTAATCGATTGATATTGATAATCGATGACAATCGATGCCAATTAATCGATTGATATCGGCAATCGATGACAATCGATGCCAATCGATGACAATCGATAATCACACACACCTGGACGATCGATTGTTCATCGATTATCAATATCAATCGATTAATTGGCATCGATTGTCATCGAATGCCATCGATTCCCATCGATCATCGATTTCATCGATTGGGTACGCCCTGAGGAAATGACCCAGCGAGGCTGCTTGTCTGCGAAATTTTTTTGAGAAAAAAGCTGACTCTCTCGAGTGTTGAACTAGAACAGAATAATCCAGAATTATAATTTTAAACATCAATTGCTACTGATATAATTATTAAGTTTTCTTACCTGTCTGGAGTCTCTTCCACTGATGTCAATGATCTGGGCGCCAAACAAACGCGCGCGGTACATATTTCCCGCCACAAATAATTAAAAGCACTTTCATGAGACGGTGATCAAAATGCAAAAGCAAAATAGGAAAGCCGGTACCAAATTGCTAGAGGCTAGCGATCGTTTGTTGGGCGACGTGTGATAGAGTGAAACAGACAAAATATCGAGAAATCTGGACAGAATCTTTTTGTAATACATTATCAAAAATTATGTGAAATACATCATCAGAGAACACGTGCGAAAAAAATAATTTCGGCTCGATATTTTTTCGCGGTATTTTTCATCGACAAAAAACCGAAACATTAAAAATCACGACTTACCATCAATTACTCGGCTAAGCAAAGCTAAACTTACCAAAGTCGATAACCAAGTAAGGACTTCGTACAGAAATAATTTGCCACTCTCGTTTAGCAGTGTAGTGGTCGAACTTGACGTAGGTTAAAACGGATTCGTTTTGCCGGCATCTTCCCGTTAAATTAAAGTAGATTTAACACTTGCCAGGAGTAATTAGAAATCTAGCCATTTTGCTCATAGCTTCGCAAATGCAGCCAGCGTTATGCAGTAAAGCGACAGAAACTTTAGCGAAATATTCACACGCGACAGTCGCGACAACCTCAGTAAATCTAACAAATGAAACAAGATGCTGAGAGAAAAAAAGGGCTTCATTGATTGTTTCCGGCAGGCGGTGACAAGTAATGTACGAGATTAGAAGACCTCCTGGTCAGAATTTTTTTTGTAGCCTAAGCCCGTCATGTGAATGAACGCCCCACCCCTTTTCTAGAGTTCTGGTGCTGCAGATGGTAAGTGATGCATTTCTAGCTTGGCAAAACGTGTCCAAATTCCGGGCCAATACTACCGAATTATAATAATTTTGAGGTTCTAATTGAGGACCGCCCCTCCTACACTCACATGGTGTGTATGAGCGCCACCCCCCACCCTTCTTCTCAAGTTCTGGTTTTGCAGATGATAAGTAATGCATTTCTAGCCTGTCAAAACGTGCCGAAATTCCAGGCTACTGCTATTACAATAATTTTTAGGTTATAAAGGATCGATATTGTTCGGACTTTCTTGCCACCCTGCTATTTTCCATCCCTCAGTTCCCATATTGCAAAAGTAGCGACTAACGAACTTCACCACAGGTTTTTGGTGAAATTCGCAAATTTTGGCAAAGAATTAAAAAACACGCTCTTTCGACATGTCCAGGTACGTGATACACCAAGACGAAGGTTCATCTCACCGATCAAACTTTCGTAATTTTGCCTGAGCGAAATGTCGCGAAGAGGATTCGAGCCAACTTAATAGACTGAAATGGGTGACAGAAATACATAATGTGTTATACCTTTTCAAGGATAAAGGCTCCTAAAACTCTTTATTGTCTGTTTACTTTATTGTCTTCTTAATACAGTACCCTTAAAATCGAACGAAGTATTAATTTACCAATAAAAGTGTATTGCGACATGCACCAGTTTATGTAAAAAAGAAGCTTCTATCTAGCTTCGGCAAGTGGTAAAAAAGACAAAAACAGATAAATTTGGAGTTTTGCTCCATAAAGTTATAAAAGAACATATCTTAATTACTAATTTTTTTTCCCCGATCTATTGCTTGTAATTGCAAATCTTTTAAAATTAACATCTCCCACAGGCCGACACCTCAGCTTCGGTGAGCTTGCAGCCACATAATACTCTCTCCTGAGCGGACGAACCACGCTTGCTATGAGTATAGCTGTATCTTTTACCAAAATAAGTGCACGTAAATAATAATGCAATAATATAGTATGCATACTAATAATAATGATGATGATGATGATGATGATGATAATAATAATATAATAAAAATAATAATGATAATAATAATAATGATAATGATAATAATAAAGAAGACATAGAAACTGATTTCGTTTTTGATAAATGATGAACGTTACTGAGAAACTCGATCGAATTTGTTTTATGAGAATATGATATTTACTGTTTTTAATTATTAATAATAATCATCATCATCATCACCGTCATCATGACAGGGACAAGGACAATGTCGCTAACTTATCTTAGAAAAGTTTTTTTTCATTTCTTTTAGCTTCTGGTTCTGGCCGGTATCAATACGACTCAAAAGCCTTCTTATTTTCGCTGGTAAACAAGCCAGGATGGGCGCCTGTCAAATTGTCTCAGTCAGGGAAATATAGTTCTCGCAAATGGTCCATATACTTTCTCTCATCCTATGGGCCTACATTCGGAGGAGGACATGACATTAGCATCAAAAACTACGCGTCATCTAATAGCAATTCTTACAGCAACCTTGGCTCTACTTACAGCCCACCGAGCGGGTACAGCTACCAAAGCACCTTCGCACGGACATTCCTGGCGGGAACTTACATGTTCACACCAGACGAAGTTGAAACCTTTTACGAAACAACCTAATTAATATCATGCGTGACACCGGCTTTGATATTTGAGCTGAGCTTATTGTACAAGTAGACGCTTAGAGGTGAACGAATCTACAGTACTAAGCAAGCCCCTTATATCTAAATCAAAACACAATCATTAGAACGTATACTACAACATTTTACAAACAAACGAAAAATAGAATTGTCAAAAAGAGAAATGATTTTGATATCTATAACTGGTCCAACTGCTCTGATTATAAATGGCTGATAAAAGCGTGTTATAAAGTATCTCCCAAGCTGTTCTCAGTACCGCGTAGGCCTTAACCCAACCGTTATCCTTTTTCACCTGGGTACGAGTCTAGCTGGGGACAGCTATGCTATCATCTGTCAGAAAACAGTTACATCCTTATCATGAGGGCAAAGAAATCTCAGCTCCCGAGTAAACAAAGTTGAAAAAAAAAGCAGTACAGTGATATTTTACTGAACCAGGCTGTCCTCACTGGCGGTTTGTAACTGTGGCTTGGCCTTCATAATTATTATAATAATCCATAAGGAAATTTAAGAGTCTTAAGAGATAACACTGATCAAAGTTTGGTTTTACTCGGTCCGCGTGCATAATGCCGGATACCACTATATAAATATTAGTAATCAAAGATTAAAATTACTATCTCTAATTATCTCATATACAGGTGTAGACTGCTTGCAGTCACGTGACAATCCCAATCGCCTTCTGGCAGTGTAGTAATTAAATTTAAGAGCGTTGGGTTACTAATTCATGTACGCCCTAGGTATAATATCTGAGACACATCAGTAGCCATCATGATTGCAGCGCCGTAGCTAGTATGAGGCCAACCGAGGCACTCGCCTCGGTAAAATTTTGACGAATTTAGCCGATCATTTTTATTTTACATAAGCGATCATCGGAGCCTCTCAGAAAAGATTTCGTGGCCAAAATATAACAGTTAAAAAATATATATATATATAACCAAAATTTTCGCCGTATTTATACTGAAAACGCAGAAAACGCTGCAAATCGCATTTCCGAGAGAAAATTTCTAAAATTTCTCGGGGGGGGGGGGGGGCATGCCCCCGAATGCCCCTAGCAACTCCCGCCTGCCTCAGTTGGCCGTTTGGTCTGGCTACGGTACTGGACTGTTCTAGTATATAAAATATTAATGTAATATACACTCATAAGAATGTATACTGATAGTATAAATAGATAAAAGATCACGTTCACGGGCTAGTATTAATTGTTTTTACAGACAAGAATTAAAATTCAATAAAATTACTCAGTTTTGTCATAAAAAGAGAGCTTCATTCTCTCAACGTTATCAATAATGTCTGTTAATGATCACGTGGTCAACTCTGTTTCCTTTCCTGTAAACGTCATGTTTGATTTAAGCAATAATTTAAAAAATGGTATCTGTTGGAACTTTGAACACATTTGAGTGCAGCAGGAGGAAGGTTAACAACAGGCAGAGCAGCCCGGCTTACGTCAATCTAATGTAAGCTAATTTTAACCAATGCACTCGTTTTCATGGGCTTAATGAGAAGGGATAAGGTTTAA